TCAGTTTAGACAAACCAGGGCGCGAGAGAAAAAAAAAACAAAAAGGCGATTGACAAAATTAGATTTTCGCGCGTTATGTGAGGCGTCGTTTCTTTCTCTGGAGGGCGACAGAGATGTGCAATGGCCAGTGGCAACATATTCCGAAAAAAATGTGGGGCGGATGTATGCGCATGACAAGTGAGAGGGCAAGATTTTGGAAGAAAAAGGCTCGGCGACGGCACCACACCGCCCCGGAGCCGAAAACATTCCGCCACACACTAAATTGTGCTTCTCTCTCTCTCTCTCTTTTTTTGGTTTTCCGGCCTTTCTCATTGGTCTCTGTTGCCTTTGATTGTGGCGGCGTTTTACCTAATGCGCGTGGACTCGCTGAGCCTTTTCTCACGTGTTTCCCGAATTCCCGGTGCCCACAGCACGCCTGATGACGTCCTTTTAATCGTCTTCTCAGCATCTTTTTTGTGTTGCTGCTTTGTTTCTCAATCAGGCGTTGCGCGAGCGGTAGGCAAAGGTCAAAAGGTCATTTTCCTCCAAACCTTTTGAATTTCAAGGTTCTTCTTCTTCTTCTCCTTCTTCTTCATGAAACTGGGGAAATCGGCGATGACAGGTTCACGCTCGCTTGCCGACGAATTCCGTCCGTCGGAATATAAACGAGCTGCGCCCAAAAAGCTCCTTTATTGCTCATCTCCCATTCATTTTGCTCTTGCTTTTCCTTTTTCCTTTTTTCTTATATTTACCACCTTCTTTACACTCTCCATTCCGAAAAAATATCCTCCCGCCCGTCCGTCCGTCGGCCCTCCTCCCATTCCTTGCTGGTCACGTGTCTCGACATGACATCAGGTACTTTTCGTTTAACATTCCCACTCGGATGCCCGTTCGGTATCTGTATGCTTTATCTTTCGCTGTTGAAATAAAAAAAGAATGTCTGTTTGCACATTGGTCCTTCTCCCGAAAAAATACATAGCGTCATTCTCATTCGCAAAGTGGGAGACAAGAAATTTGTGAGTCTTGTACTCAGCTTGAGAACCTACTTCTTCTGCCCCTCTCTTTCTCTCCCTTGCTGCTCGCTCCTCGCTTTTCTCCCACTCAACTCTGAGTTTGGAATACAGATCTCCACGGCCATTTGTGATTCTTGCGCGCTCCTCACTTCTTCGCTTTCCTCGACTCTGAATATTCAATTATGCATTTCTCGCTTCTCGTTTTTTTTTCCTGTGACACAAATAAGGGAATCCGGGGAGACGGAGACAGGTCAGCTTGTGTTAAATGAGTGAGAAGCGGCTTCTCTGATTTCCGCGAACTCCGTCTTGTTGTCTAGGTTCTTCTCTTACCCGTCCTAAACATACAGACAACCTGGGCCTTGGGCAAAACTGTCAGTCCGACTGCATGACTCGATTCGATTCGATTCGCATCTGATCAAATTAAAAGGGCATTGTACAGCCATTTCGGTTTCGGTCACGTTTTCGCCCCATTTTGTGTTCTTCTTTTCAACGTCAACGACCGAGCGGAAAAATGAAGAATCAGCTGTCCTCCCTGTCCACAAAGCAGTTGTCATCGGTTTGAAAATGTTCAATTTCTAGCACCAATGACTGCGCGGGGGACTCCCACAATTCAACGTCATTCGGGAACAAAGATTGAGCACATTCTCAGATCACCTTGATTACTTTTTTGTTTCTTTTAATGCGAACCCTACGAGCCGCTAGCTTTCAGCTCTGCCCGACGGTCGCCCAAACTAGGTACCTCTCTTGGAACAGCATCATCTTCCTTATATTCGTTTTTTTATTGTCATCCACCCTTCCCCCCACTAATCCTGTTTTCACATTTTGACGCAGCTCTCCTCGTGTTCCTTCTCTTCCTCCATTTCCACTTATGACGTTGCTTGTGGCTATCGTTTGGGTGGATGTGGGTGAGTGTACTCTTCTCAGAGTGTGAAAAGTTTGGAAGAATTTGCTCAAGTAGCGTGCTGCGAAGGGCACTGACAGAGAAGAGCACCGCACGGTGAATAGGAGTAGATTAAGACGCCTTCAGACGCTCATGATGCCCCCTTCGCCCCAATTCTCAAAGTGAAGAGAAAGCCTCTCGTCCCTTTTCTTCCTCCTTCCTCTTCTTTTTTCTAAATGTTCCGTCCGACCCTCACATGCATCATTTCCATTGAAGTGCTCATTGAAACAACAACAGAAAATTGATTTGGAGAGTGACGAAAGTTTGACCAATTGAATTGAAACCTACGTGATTCGCGAGTAAACCCTTTTCCTCTTCTCCTCTATCTCTCTATTCCAGTGTGTTGGCAGCAAAACGGATAAATTTGGAGTCGTTTAACTGTTAATCTCAGCCCCGGATTATGAGATTTATGAAACAGAAACAGCGCTTGAAAAGAATGAGTGCAAAATTTCAGTTCAGACCCATCGTTATTATTATCTTTTATAGTCGTAGGTTGCGCATCAACTGGTTCTTCTTGGAATCGGGGGATTGGTGCTCCCGTTCTGAACTTGAGAACATCGTGACGAAATACGCCTCCCCCACAGATATTTGTTGCGTGACTTCGCGGCATTTGGTGAGGACATGAGGAGTCGAAAACATGCAGTTGAGTTTCCAGTCTCGGTAGGACAACTGACCGATCACCGAATCACGCCTCTATTCAGAGATCTTCAGCCGATTTTTTCAGATTCTAAAGCTTTCCTGCACAATGCGCAAGACTTCTATAGAAAAAGCAGATGGTTTTATTTTTCCAAATGAAATGAGCTGTGAACACTACCTCGGAATTCAGAGCTCCTGGCAAAAATAGAGGGGATTGGTGTATTTGGATGTGCTGCACTTATTTTTAGTTAGCAAAACTTTGATTCGAATAAGAGCTCTTCATTCATAACCACCACTGGATTTGACGAAACTATGCGGAAGTGAATCCAAATAAGTTTCGTCCTTTTCCTTCTCCTTCTCCTTCTCTTTCTCCTTCTTCTTTTCTTTACACCAGCTCACTCGACTCTCCCAATTTGAATGATGTGAGTTTATTCTCACTTTCATGTTCATTCTAATTTACAAAGCCCAGATTACGAAACAATTCGGCCACCATATACTTTCATTTTCTTTACAAAGCGACATTTGAAAGATTTATGGGCGACGCAAGTAGCAGCCATTTTCGTTGCTCTTGTGTCTCGGCAAGAAACGGTAATAATCAAGGCAATTGGGCGACGTCGCATGACGAGGGTGTCCGTCGACGTCGCATAACAAGCAGGCAATATGGCTCAATAGCTCAGCAAACGAAATTTTTGAACTTCTCATCCTCCTCGACCCCTTCTTTTTATTTTTTTTTTATTTTTATTTTTCTCTCTTTATTTTCTCTCCGAAAAGATCTCCGAAAAGCAAAAAAAAGCGCTGAAATTGGAGATTTGTTCATATCAGATTTTTATGTAAAGGGTGTTGGGAAAGGGTGTCGAATGATATGGGCAGAAAAGAGAAGGAGTAACTTTTTCTAAACTCTTAGCTCCGTTCTGATCAGAAAAGACTCATATGATAGGGTCTTACTGTAGATTATGCTTCTCTTCTTTCTCTCCGTTTCTTTGCCCTAATAAACATGCACAAGGCTCGTTCTCTCTCTTCCTCTTTTCCTCTCTCAGACCATCTACAGTAAACCGTGCGGTTTTCGAATGTAATTGATGCTAATAGAAATCGTTTGCCTTTCGCAGCTCTTCATTCCGTCACTCCTCTTCCCCTTTTTGCTCTTTCACTATTAACGCCTTGCTCGGTTCAATGCCGTCCGGCTTCCTAACACAAAGCGGGGCGGTCCCGACCGAAAGAGCAGGAAAAGAAAAACAAAAACATGGTTAGTGTTTCGGCGGCCATATTTTTGCACCTTCTCCCGCTCTCCTTCTCCTCTGTTTTTTCTTCGCTTCTTCTGCGCGACTCCGGTGGTTCAGTCAGCTGAACCGCACCAAATCAAACGAGAAGAAGCAGGGAGAAGGCGCCAATTTCCCGCGAAACTTCAATGGAACTTCTTTTTTGGTTATTTCGCGAAACGCTCGCACGGAGGTGCCGAAACTTGAAGGCTCCTTTCCTCATTTTCGCCTTTTGTTGTTTTCATTCAAGGTCCATTGACCAAATCTACTTGACCTAAGGTCCCCACGTCAAGAGAGGGGAATCCGTTGCGGTCTCTGATTGAATATATCCCCCACTTGTTGCTGCATAGCGTGGGTTCATGATTAAAAACGGACGACGTTGTGTGGCTCTCCAGTTTATGACGTGGTTCTACGGAAGTTGTCCAAACGGACGGAAATCAAAACATGCAGATGTTAATTTTCATTTAAATTTCATTTCACCGCTTTTTCAGAACTAATTTCAATTTAGCTCCAAAGATAGATCGATTCATCGATATACTTCAGAGTAAAACGTCAGCTCGTCTAGACACGCTTCCTTTTTCAAAGTACTTGAAAAGCCCACCACAACTGAATGTTTTTCCCACAAGTGGAAACTCTTGAAGTTGGTTAGAAATCGCTCTGTGTCAGAAAAGTTTCTGAATGTTTCTGAAGAAATCTTTGATGCATTCTCGCCCAACCTATACATTATTCATCCTCTAGTCAGAGTGTTCTTATTAAGTACAATCTTCTCGACTACGGCCTTACGGGTTTGAATAGGCGGTAATAGTTCCATTCATTCACTTCTCCTTGTTCAAAAGAATGATATAAATCAGAGTATTGTTGTAGTGGGCTCTAATTCTATTCATTTTTCCTCACTTTTCGGCCTATTTGTTACTGCTCACGTTCCTCCGGCAAAAAACGAATAACGGACGGAGGCAGTCGACGAGAATTGCCCGCTTCCTTTTTGAGCTTGTGCCACAACAGATTGCAAGTTCCCATACCATTTCGAAGTTTGTCATCATTATGCCTTTTTCTCGCCTTTCAAAATGTCAATCTTTGTGTTTTTCTCTGCGTCATTTAAGATAATTGCTGAAAGTTTGTTTTTAATATCATTGAAACTTTCAGACTTCTTTCTTGCATTCTTTTCTCGTTCGCATCATGGGTTGCACTTTCTCTCGCACTTCCTCCACTGAGGATATCCGCAAGAGCGTCGACAAAACTCCAGGTACAACATTTCATCGATTACAGAAACTAAAACGTGAATTCAGAAATGGTTGCAAAAAAGTCGGCTCCGACGAACCGTGCTCCGTCGCAGGAGCTCCGCAGTGCTCACAACGGAAACATTCTTCAGATAGCTGGAAAACCAATAATGTGAGTAGTAGAGGACCATTACGTCTTACTGTGATTGGGAGTTCCATGTACGAGATGCTCTCAGGTTCCTCATAAAACCAAAAATCCATTTTTCAATTGTTTGGAAAAGCCTGCAATTCACGCTCTTAACTGGGCTTTAGAGGAACTGGAAGAGAAATCAAAAACCGACGCAAAAATAGGAACTACAAGTTGGGAGGGGAAATGGGGAACGTTTCTATCTGGATGTATCCACATCGTTTCAGTGAGGTCGAGAGTGCCAGCCAAGCCGACTTCTTCCGCATGCTGGACGACAAGATCAATCGGGTAGGAAGCGGGATAATTGAGTAAATGCAATATAACCTTTGAATGTTTAGGGAAAAGGCGGCGAGTCGGACAGTGAGAATTGATAAGTTCACAAATTGGTCAACACTTACACATTTTCCCACCCCTCCCCCCTACATTTCGAGTTTCCTTGTATGATTTCCGGTTTAACATTCCAACATGCGGAATGCGTTCTACATCCTGGTGTCCTTTTCGCTTGCTTCTCCTTTCTTATGGTTCGTTCTCCCCCACACACAACTTCTGTCCCCGCATTCACTTCTTCGTCCCCGTTCCTGTCCCTATCTGACGTCATCCGACGATTACCATATCCTGTCATAAATACCATTTCCGTTTTTGCTTTGCCACGGTTCCCGTAGTGCGGTTCACGACCAACCCTTTCTAGTTTTTTCACTGTGTTCCTTCTGCGTTTCACACGAACTTTTTAGAATAACAACGACCGAATCATGCTCTTTTGCCCCAACTGCTATTGACTGTCTTTGAAAGAATATTGTTTTGACAACGACCAGAGTTTCTCGATCTGTTTCCATGTTTTAGAAATGCCAGTAATCTTGAACGACTCTACTTATTCACTTGTGCTTGTAAATCTCCAAACTTCCAACAAAAACTCTCTGACTAACGAAACGAAACAGAAAAACGTCATTTAATTCGGATTCCAGCCGCTTTTCCACATTCCTATGGATCGATGTTCCTATTATCAATTCACCACCAGATCGCTTTTTGTAACTGTTGATATTAGTCTTCCCCACTTCTCTTTTCTCTGTCCCTTTTGAACATTCTTTCAATCCCTTGCACTCCATGGAGTAAAATTGCACTTTCCGAACAAATTGTATATCCTCTGAAATAAATGATTCGCTCTCGACCTTAGTTTCCTGATTTTATTAGGAAAATAAATTTAAAAGGGGTTTGCCGAGGAAATTGGCTTAGAATTCTGATAGTGATAGAATTAGCTTCGCCAGATTTTGATCTTGTATTTGTGGTGCGGATTTGACATTTTATATTTCCACAATTATTCAAATTCTATCAGCTACATTTTCGTTTTTTAACGAGTGTTTTACTCGAAATTTGACGGAGATACAATTTAAAAAAAAAGGCACTGGTTTTGCAAATTTCCATCATATCTCGAGATGATATATTATGACGTTTGTTGTTGATTCATTGTCTTTCAAAGAACGTACACCCAGCTCTTTGAGACTTCCGTCGGCCGTGTCATTTTTCTAATTGGTTTATAGCCCTTGCGTGTTTGCCCAACAATTTTGTTTTGAGCTTGTGTTTCAGTACTAAGGTAGAACAACAACATTTTTGAGGTCATTGAGATTAGCGCTTGAATGACTAGATCTTTGATCACATTAGATACAGTAGGATTCGGAGAACCACAATCCTCCGTTTTTCGTATGTGAATGTTCAGATTTGCTCGCTCACAAAATGTGCGGAGAATCAACAAATTTCCAGAGTAGTTGTGATATACCAAACCCTCTCCCCCCATCTTTTGTTCCTTTCCTCGTGCTCATTTTCACACGCGACGAACGTTTTATTTTCCACTTCTCCGAGCATATCCCTTCCTTGTTCTCCTATTCGCCACACACTTTCGTTTGCAAAACCATGTTTTTCTCTCTTCTCTGCCTCCTTTTGTCTTTCGAAAGTGAATTTCTCAACGAAAGCGATAAATTCGGCCGAGTGCACGACAAAAAAGTCCGCCGAGCAAGCGGAATGTCCTAATCAAGAAAGGGTCGCGCGTTTTATTCAATGCGCATTCCCAAGATTATCCTCCCTCCTCCCCTCCCCCAAGTTGGCAGGAGCAAGCCTACCAGACTCAGCCCCCTCTCCTTTTCTTCCTCCCCTTTCATGCCATCCCCGTTGGTTTACATGAAGCCAAAGATTAGTCGGGTTCTTAAGTCCGAGTATATATATGTCATTCAAATCGAATCAGGTCTGAGTATTCTAACTCACACGTTTTTAACCTCTGGGAAAGTTCTGTTTCCATCTCAAATTGCGTTTCCGGTGTCAAATGTTGCATTGCGCCTTCTGTGAAATCCGATCCACGCAGTTCTGCTCAAACACGTGTATAAAACATGAGCAGTGAGTTGAGAGTCCGTCAAGGTACATGGAAGACTTAGTACTTTTGCTCATTCTGAAGTGGCTATTCGCCACACTGGAAATCGCTCGCTTCGTGCATATCTTCATCTACTCCAACATCCATCCATCCCTTGCCTAGTACACTCTTCCAATCGGACAGGCTCTTCCCGGACGGCCCCCGTGGAACGCAGTCAACTGTGAACGCTTCGCTCTTTCGCCATCCTTTTGCTTTCCGTTTTCCAATTTATCCGCAAGGTGCAGGCTTATCCTCAAAAGCAGGGTTTCCAATTTCCATTAAGCAAAGAGGATGTCGATGGAACCGACCGAAGACGGCGGCGGCGGAGGGCGACACAACTCTGATGAACAGGCCGCAAATTGAATGGTTCTGCTGCTCCGGATGCGTTTTTCATGTCTTCAGAAGACGTGCATGAAGGCACTTTTCAAGTGATCTTTTCGCCGCCAGTGCTTTTTTTTTGCTGTTTTTGAGAAACGGAAAATGCATGCACACCGTCTTTTTTCTTTGCTCAAATTCTTCTGCTTCACGTCTTCCGTGAGAACACGGTACTTCTGATTTCTGAGTTTGTAACACAATTTCTAAGTGAGACAACCATAGTTCATTTGCGTCCGTCTGTCATACAATACAAAAACATGAATACAATGTAGATCTCAGTCCAATGACTCATGTCTTCTCATACTTATTCTTCTTTTTCCATTTACCGCGTTCACAATTTCCCCCGAAAACTTCGTTGAGTGTTTGCAAGTACCTCAACAATGCCGATCCAGGAAATGGAGCAGATTGAAGACCTTCTGGCCAACTTGCAACTCGAAGACATCAAGTGTGACCTGTGCCAGGACGTGAACGAAGAACCAATTGCGTTCAACCACTGCAAACACTGCGTTTGCGCCGGATGTGCCGCTCGCTGGTTGGAGTATAGCAACTCTTGCCCAATTGTAAGAAACTTTACGGGAGATAATTGGTATAAAATGTGTTTGCGCTCAGTGCCGTGCTCGTGTGACTGAAATCTGCATCGACGCGGAGATGAAAAAGAAAGCGTCGCAGTTTGTTCGTCTCCATCCTGGTTAGTTTTAGAGCATTTCAGAGAGGACATGAAGTAGTTATAGAGCACGAGGTGCCGAACGAGAAGAAATTGCAGCAGGCTTGCTATGAAATAGTCTTTTGGGCCGTCCAGCAACGCCTAGATGTCAACCATCCGCTCGCCGTTTTTTGGGGATTCAAACCTATGGTTCCGGACAATTTGAAGTTTGTCATTGATAAGAAAATCCTGTGTAAAACTGAGATTTCAGTGAGACTCAGGCAAAAGAGTTCCTTCAATCTAAGCGAGAGGAGCATATCTGGTCTCGTGTCGAAGTCTTGAGAACCCGACTCGCCAAACACAATGACATCTTTAAACACATGTTATTCGACGGTTTGTTCACAGTTTGCACTTCTAAGTTTCAAATGTGAAATTTCAGCATACCAGGCACGAGTCTTTCCAGGAAATGTGGTGGCCTCGAACGATGATTATTTCTGGAAAATCGTCCGCGGTCGAGGACTGATGCGGGTTCCACGTATGTAAAGTTCAGAACATTGATAGAACGACACGAATTTCAGGTTTCACCAACCGCTCCTACTGCTCGCGCCGCTTCCGCCGTTCCTTCAGCACATAATTCTTCACTCTTCCCTTTAAAATGCGATCTCATGCAATGCAAATCTAGCTAGTCCTGTGTTAAAACTCTTCTACAAGTAGTTCAAGAACTTCCCACTTAGAAGACTGATAAAGCAGAACTGACTTTTTGCACGCACTTAACGTTACGAAATCTTTACTGTAATTTTTTTCATTTTTTCACACCCCATAATAAAATCTTTGAGAACGTTTTCTCTTTTTTTTATTTGCCAGTGTTCCTCCTTCATATGCGTGGCTGGTGGACGTGCGTTTTCTATTCCACGACGCCTTGGACTCCTCTCGGAAAACGTAAAATTGTATCGGTGTCTTCCTACTTCTTTTTCAAACATCAGAAGACCAAAAACTGACGAATTCAGACGTTTTGAACCAATCTCGATTAGAAATGCTTCAAGGAGTCGGAAAGTTTTCGAAAAACTTGATGGAGTGTGAAATTGACGTCAAATCTTGACCGAAACCGGATGTAAGCATCGATAAACATGTTAAGAAAAGGTGCTCGGTGGATTCAGCAGCCACTTTGGCTCGTTTTGCACACCTCTCACTCCTATTCTCTGGATATTTTCAGAAATGTCACGGGTAAGTTCATTTACAAACGAAACTAATTTGTGTAAAGCTGCAATCTTGTTGGACCAACACAGAACGTGTGTTTTTCAGAGAACGGAGTACGATGATCCTATCGAAATTGTGCGGATGGCTCGGCTCGCCGTCAAGGAAGCCAATATGCGGGCGACTAGAATGCAGGGACAAACGACCCAGCAGTTGATGCAAAGAGTGAAGGATCTCAAGTATTGGAGCGGAGAAATTGATCGGTCCGTTTTCACTTTGAATCTGACGATATTGTGTACATTTCAGAGAGCTCGCTGATGTCAAGGAAGAGCACGATGATCTGCTCCGCTGCTACCGTCGTTTGCAAATGTGTTTAGATATTACTGGAAGAGCCACTAGATGCAACGAGAGCTGCCTCGCAGTTAGAAGAAAGAAGGTGCAAGTTGGGGACCACACTTCCGACCGAGTTGATCTCGAATTGCACAAGGAAAAAGAACTTATGTCAGAAACAGTAAGACAAATGAAAGAAATTGGAGGGAAAGTGGAGCGGCAACTGGAAGTCAACCAAGGTTCGACTAATTTGTTTTTATTTCCGTTCAATCACGCTATTACAGCTGCCAGAAAGAATCTTCTGCGTGATTTGACACTGAAACAAGAAGCAATCAGCTTGGACCATAGATCCGTTTCCATGGGCGCTGATGGAAGCAAAACTGTGTCCAGAACTCCGGACGGAGATCGACTCGACTTCCGGTACGTGTTTTACGAGTAATCCGGAGGAAAATTGTTTCAGTGAGGGCGCTCCGCTTCAAAGAATGAGTGAGTATTCCGAGTGGATTGAGAACACCGGCAATAATCTGAATTACGCCGCTCGTGCGCGTGTTCATTCGCGGAAAATCGGCCAAAAGTTGTGTCAATCTATTCGTGAAATGGCTCAGCAACTGCGGACCGAAGCCATCGCCGTCGAGGCGCTTCTGAAGGACTCAGTCAGAAACTGGCAGGAGTGGAAGGATAATCTTCATTCACAGGTCTTCCAATGGAACTCTTCTGAGATCATTTTTCTTTCAGGTTAACGGAAAAGACAAAGAAATCAAGAGTGCTGACGGCGCCATCGAAGAGATCTCATTCAGTTTGAAGCAAAAGAGCGGACCTCTGCAAGTGGCACTTTCTCGCCAGAACCAACGTGGTCTCCGTCCGGGAATCGAACTCTGCAATGACAAAGCGCAGCACGCTCTGCACCAGGAGCTTATGATGCTTAAGGGAACGTTCCTCAGTCTTGAGAACCAACTTGGTACGTTTTACGGTGAAAGCTGATCATTTCTTAAGTTTTGTTTTCAGACAAAGCGAAGGAAAGTCGGAAGAAGTTGGAGAACGACCGCGATAAACTTCAGCGCAAATTGGAGATTTGCGACCACAACCTGACGATCGACAATGAAATTCTTCGCCAGATTCGTTCTTCGTATCCCCATGAGATTCAACTTTCTGGATTTTTGCTGAGCGAAACGAAAGAACATCGCTGATCGTCTCACTTTCGCTTCCCAAATAGTTTTCGATCTCCCCTTCGTTTCACGATCGTCATCCCAGAATTCTTCTTCACAAAACACCGCATGCGATTTCTGATAAACTGTAAAAAGTCATTAGTTTTTGATTGATCTCCTTTTTTACCGATGAAACACTACGACAAGAAGGCGCGTTTTTCTTTCTCTCATGCACCACAAAAAACTGTTTAGTTGCACGATATCGGCCGATGACGTCTTATCGTGCGGATGTTTTCTTCTTCTTCATCTTCTGATTGGTCACATGTTGGAACCAATCTTTTCTCTCAAAAGTTGTTCCTCCTCCACCCGTTTATCGTGAGAAAAGTTGAAAAGAAAACGTTTTTTGAGGATGCCTTTTCGTCTCTAAAAAAATGGTGTCATCCGGTTCAACTGCACTTTCGGTGTAGTGTGTTATCAAACAAAAAAAAACGTTTTTCAAGCTTGCATCATATGAAGACAATGACGACAAAACGCACATGCCGGCGATAATTATCAAAGTTTTCCGACTAGTGCTGGTTCCCTTTTATGATGTACATTGTTTCAAAAATTTTATTAGATCAGAACCCGTACTACAATTTGACGCTGTTGAACGATTCGGTTCGGCTAAACACAAGAAAAAGAAGGAAGGTGTACCAAAGTTTGAATTATGTACATGCATCAGAGTCGAGGCGATCAGATTGTGTCGGAATACTCCGGAGGTGGGGCGGCCAGAAGGGGCTGAGACTCCTCGCAGAATCCTCGGTACTTTCTCGCAAATCTCCATGTTAGGGCACTCCATTTGGCTGTCATGAAGAACCAAACGGCCGCAATCCAGAGGTTGGCTCCCTTCAGTCCCTGCGGGTCGATCGTCTGATGTTCGATTCCGGCGACAACCAAACAGTACACCATGGCCACGAGAGAGATCAGCGATACCGTGGCACCTATAACGAATTTGCATTTGAATAGGGTCCTGGGAAAGTAAGAGAAACGAACCAACGGTCGCGATGCATTTGAGTTTAGTGGAAGACCAACCGGCCATCTCAGTTTTCTTGTAAGCCATGTGAAGGTGGAGGACTAGAGTGGCAAATGCACTCGACACAAAGCACATTGTGACGGCGATCCAATTCTGAAAAAAGAAACGTTTAGATTGACTCCCTCTGACAGAAACTACCTGATATTGGATAGCGAAGACCGTTCCGGCCATAATTCCAGCAGAAACTCCGAGCCATGCGATCCAAATCTGGACTTTCAAACTGTGGAACCACGTGCAGCATGATTCTGAAAATTAACAGTTTAGAAATGTACACTGGATACCTTCTTACGTCTTGGCGCTTCGTCGTCCATCTCGATTCTTTCAGTTTTTCCTTTTGGGGGTACCAAACTGACGTTGCTGCTGTAGATTTGATGCATGCACTGGAATAAACAAAGTTAACAACCATATTTGCGGCTACAGGTGGGGTGGTACGAGACTAAACCTAAACTCCACTTCCGACACCTTATTTATATTTGTTCCGTTTGTTATCAGTCGAAATCATTGTTGCACCATATGGCCGCTCACACATTATCAACTTATCGCCCTCCCCCTTTGTTTTTACACCCTTTGTTCAAGTGCAGTGGGAGGAGAGTTGTGTCAGGAATCAGCATGCCGACCGATTGAAATTGGAATGACATGCGGCGCCTGTCTGAGCACAATGCACACGCAACCAGACACACAAAACGTTTAGCAATTAGAAAACTAGGTATGCAACTTATTACAGCACATTATACGAGGTTTCGTAAAATGTCGGTTCATCTGGAAGTTTATGCGTGCAAACCCCAAAAGAAAATCTCAGATATTGAAAACTGCTTCTCTTAACGGAATTGGAACTGTTACTCTTAAAAATGAAGTCTTGTTCTAAAAGCAAAATACCAAAGAAAAATCGATAGAATTACTAACCTGTACTCGCCGTGCAAAAGGATTGGAGAATGCGGGGTGAGGGGAAAGTGGTGGACAGCCTAACGGCAGGCGACGGCCTGCCGCTCGGAAAGAGTGATCGAGAGACAGCGAGAAAGAAGAAGGAAAGGGGGTCCGTTGGACAGAAACTGACACGGAAAGTCCCTCGTTCAGCTAAACCGTCTCCCTAGTGATGGGGGCTCAACCCACACAAAAGATAAAACGACAATGCATTTCAAGTACAGTACAGACGTCGGTCTCTGGTTTCAAATCTCTTGAAAATCACGTGGATGCAACGGGCTGAAACTTTTGTAAATCTCTTTCTCGCCTCTCACACGAAAGGTTTCGTAAATCTTTGTTCTTTGTCTGGTCTTTTCCCCCAATACACGCATGAAGAAAAAAAGCTGATTATAATTAGGTAGATGTGATAGTTTGTTTCTTAGGATAAAAATTTGATAGCACGGTATTGCGGTTGCGACGACCGTTTTCTTTGTGATAAATTGATACTGCCCCCAAGTGATGTACGGATTGATGATTTCAAAGAGAAAACTGTTACTTTCTCTCACAATCTCTCCTGCCACCAATTTTTTTTATGAACAACTGGGCCGGCAGTCGTACCGATTCGGTGAGATTTTGATTAGAGTATTGGCGACATTTTTTATCGAAGATAGGGTCTGTTCTCCCAATGTTTCGAAAAATTGAATACGTTTCGACAAAATTTATGGTTTTCCAGATTCCCCGTTCCCAAACGTTCTGTTCTGAAAGACAGCAAATCGTTTCCCAAAAGTTCCCCCGCAGATTCTTGAAGTTTTGACTCGCGAGTCGCAAAGATACTGTACGCGCTCCTCCTGTTGTCGTTAAAACTTCACCATAAACTGTGCAAAAAGGAGTGAGAAAGACCCCATCTGTTTTTTATCACCCCGTTTATGATATGCATAAAAAGGAAAGCCGTGGACACCCCATCCCCGCCTCTCGTACCGCCACGCTCTCTCTCTCATTCGCCCCGCCTTTGGGCCGGTGTGCCAACGCGTTCGTCAGTTCAGTTCAGCGCTGGTACAGGCGGTCACTCGACGGGCTCGCCGTGCCCTTCCAATTCCGTTTCTCTTCATTCGGCATTTGTTATCCGTTAGCGCGCCATACACTTCCTCTCTGCCCTCTACTTGCAAATGCTAATTTGTTTACAGTAAAGCGATGAGTTCGTTTCCGGAACCGTTGGACACTGGGAATGACTCGGGAATCGTGGAAGATGCTAACGCTTCGAAAATAAAGTGTGATAGTAGCGAGGTCACTGTCACTTCGGTTGCGGCTCTTATGGCGGGAAATTCAGAACAGGCAACTGTGACCTACGTCAAGCCGGAAGATGTGACTTTGATGATCAAAAGTCTGGCTCTCAGTCCACGAACTGACAAAGATGGAGAGGTGAAATCCGAGAAAAAGTTTCACGGATTCAGAAAGAACGCAAGCGCACTAGACATGTCCAGCTTTGGCGCTCATCTGGGAGCTTTCGGATATGGAGCGGGAAAACGTGGTGATGGAAGCTGTCACAGCATCTTGGAGAGTGAAGGATCCTCTTCTAAAGACAGTTCGTTCGCCAGAAACAATAGCGAGCCGTGCAGTTCCGCTCAAGCCGACGCTCGAGATACTCTCCAAGAAGCCACTGATCTAGCTGATCGACAATCGGATCTCGCCGCGTCCGTGCCGCTTCTTCCAGGTGGAATCAGAGTCGTCCGCAACTTCATCCACTTCTTCACCAAGGACAACTACGGATACATGCTCGTTGACATGGCTTGGGCCGGTACCGACTCTTTCTTCGAGACTTTCAGCGGTTAGTTATTTTATTTTTCGTTTTCGCGCATCTGCTTATTTCCAAACTGTTTGGGTGGTACCACCACGGGAGCACACATGGTGCACATCCTCCTAATGCACCTGAAACTTGTTGACCACATTCTACGTCTCTTTCTTTCAACAAAAAACTGTGGACATGTTCCACGGGCGGCTGGCACCAAGAGGGAATGAGAGGCCTGGTATGGGAAATGTTGCTCAAATGAACCTGCTAGGGACCGAGTTGCCACAACTAATTTTTAAGATTTCTTGTCTGGATTTTAATCTCTGATTCCTAAGCAAGAATTAGACAATAGATGAAAGAGAGAGAGTGGAAACGGAACTTTGACGTGTTGATTTGATTAAAGCTCCGAGTAATGGAAGTGGACAGGAGGATGTGCATTGTTCTGGAGATTTGTCGTCAAAAGAGGGGGCTAAAGAAGATAATCCGAAGAGAGGTCTCCACCCCATTTCTACTAGACGATTTCTTCTCTTATTGTCACATCACAAACCAACATTTCCAATATCTTCAAAGCTTTTGGATAATTCGAACTTTCCACCAACACCAAGGATCATCTTAATCGCAAGGAAAATGTGTGATGTGACCAATTTGGGAGATTCTGAGAAAAATTCCCAAAAATCGGAAATATTCAGAATAGTCACCCCTATTTTTTGTTGGATATCCCCGAATTCTCTAGGTGTTCTTCTAATTCCGAAATTTTCTAGAAATTTGGTCACATCACACACTTCCCTTCTTGTCAGTCCTTCTTTTTTCTAGTCTCCACAAAAAGACAAAATTATCCGGAAACTCATCCCTTCACTAAAAATCGGTTCGTCGTTTTACGACGTCTCCGTACTGGTTATGTCAACAGCGCGGTCCCCTAGTTGAATATGTTTTTTCCGCCTAATATCTTGCATGGCGACATATTGAGAAATCGGCGTCTTGTGAACGAACAGAAAACACGGAAGAAAGTTAGAATGAGATGTTGTGTCATCGAGCCCCTCAAGTTTTGGACACTCCCCAAGCCGGCATTCATTTTTTCTATTCTGAAGCGCCAAAATAGGCTGTTTGTTCTATGACTGGTCAACGATTTGCGATCATAGACTGGTGGAGAAAACGTCATTCTGAATCAAGCGCCGTTTCGTGGTTCTTCTTCTTCTCCTTGTTCTTCCATCAATCTATCTTCACTAAATCGGCTAATTCATCAATAGGCTACCTTTCACTTTTCGATTTCCCTTCTTTTTTTGGTACAAAAACATGTTGTGATAGTTTTGAATTTTCCGGTTCTCATGATTTGAATATCGCTCCACATTCTTATTCTCACAATACCAGTTGGTTTTTGCTTCTCAACATTTCCTTGTCAAGTCTCGTGTTTAGGAACCGTTTCGAGACTTGCGAATGCAATAAAAAAGAAGGAAACAAAGACCGACTCACCAGGGTCACCCGGGCAAAACGACGATTGAGGAAGAGAATTTTAGGCGTGTTGCATCGGCAGTCCGCTAGCTGCAATAGTCATCGATCCGCTAGTTAGAACAGATAGAGAAAAGAACGAGGTCATGCGACTTGAGGCAAATCGTAAACAATGGATCACGGGCGAAGGGACACACCGGGCCTTGGATGCAAACGTGCTCTACCGGGCCGTTTTTTGTTATCCATAGTTCAAACAGAGTCGGCCATCCATTTCTCACTCATTCGGTCACGCCTCGACCTCGGCCCTCTCTCTCTCTCTCTCTCTCTCGCTCGCAACTTGTCTCTTTTCTCAATGCGTTCCGTCGGCTCTGCTGAGAATGCAGGAGGAGGGGGAGAAGGAGAAGGAGCAGGCTCTCTCTCTCTCTCTCTCTCTCTTCCTCGTCCATGTTTACTTTCATTGTCATTCCAATTGCGCATCCAATGCATGCGAATATCTTTGCACTAACCTGTCCACCTTGATTACCAGATCTTCAAGAACACCTAAATGCCATCTCGGGATGTTCTTTACACATCTTACACTAGGAAGTGCCCAGCTGACTGTTGTTTGTCGCGCCACGATGAGTTCTTCAAACACTCGTCCGCGTCATATGATGTGGCACCTGTTGAAAGTTCAAAAACGATGCAATTTCGCAAGTAGTTCGTGATTGAAAACACGCTTTATTGACGTACGGATTTTTCCACCTGGTGAACACGTGTTGAACACTGCTTCCGCATTTTCCTGGAACCCTTTCCAACTTGACGCCGGACCGTCAAAACACAACTAGCGTCGTGGCCCCCCACACCCACGCAAATGATTTATGTTTCGAGACCACCCTCCCGTTGCTTTTCTCCATTTCCTTCTGCTTTCGCGCGCCCTTTCTTCGCAAACACGAAATGAGAATTCTATTCTTTGGAGAAAGAAGAGCCGATATTTAGAAAGAAAAGCTAAGAAATTTCTCAGAGCGGCCAGAGTTTATGACAAAGCCAAATTTTCGCTTGAATTTCTCATCGTGATGAGATCTTGACGTGTTGAGAGTAAACATTAGCTATGCAACCTTTTTGAGAGAAAATGACTTGTCCGCCTCGTCTTCCGGGGCGGAACTTCCGTTGTCTAAAATTACAAGGCAAAGAACATGATGATATCATGTGTTTTCGCCCTCTCCGCCAAGTTTACGATTAATTTCGCTACTCAAGCATCAGTGCTAGTTATCAAGGTAAGACCAGAGATTGACGTAGCATTCAAAAAACATCTGGAAAACACTTTTATCTCTCCCGCCTCTTCGTCTTCTTTGCCGTTCAGTTAAATCCGGATTTTATGTGTAGTGTGTTATACAATCCGTCCCCTTTGCTCCTTTTCCTTTTCCTTTCCAACTTCCTTGTCATTCACTTATTCATGTAAATGCTGTCCGCCTCTGCCAAGGAACCACTCGGGGTCGCCGAGGGGCCTGCCTCTGCAACTGCTTTGCAATGAAAAGTGGCGGTGACGCTGTTCCTTTCTTCGCCGCCTCGCTTGCCCGTCAGTCTGCGGCAAACCTTTTTTCGGAAGTGGTCGGAGAGAAGGAAGTGGTTCGAAACTGGCCAGCCGGCAGCTGCTCTTCCTCGCAAGCTTTTCCAACTTTTTCTCATGAACACTTATCTCTACTCTCTTGTCTTCTCTTTTCTTTTACTGTGACAACTCATTAGTCACCTTCAACTGCAAACCGCTCGTTTTGTTGTTTCCTGTCGGTGCCCTTCACTTGACCAAGTTTTGTTCGTTAGTCCCGTATGTCTTCCTCTCGTTTTCACATCACATTCTTTGCATTCGACTAGTGTCGTACACGGCTCAAACGGCCCATGTTTCATTACTGATTTCTGTCAAAGACATCTATACATACTATACTACTTGTATAGTTGTGGCTGGCTAATCGAATCAAAACGACAAACGAAACAGTCGATAACGAATGAATTTGATACACTGACAAAAGGTCACGTAGTGTCGTTGCAATTTGCGGTGATGGTGACGAGAAACGAGACAAAAGTCTGACCTTACCAGACAAGACCCTATTTCGGTTTTCGGTAGTAGTTGCAAATTGTCCCAATTCCGTTAGATTGATGAGTCAACGTGAATGTTTGAACAAGCGATTAGATAGTGGAGACCCAGAAATTCTCATGCAGCCAATCCAGCACATTCTTCAAAAAACGCCTGACTCATATGGAAAACTTTTATGGAAAAAGGAAAGTCTCAGCGGGTTTTTTTCTATACGAAAAATGTTTTCCATAATACTTTCTGTATCAAAATCTTGCGTGAATATGAATATTCGGAAAGCATGCTTTACGCTCGGCTGCTCTCTCTCTCTCTCTCTCTCTCTCTCTCTCTTTCTCTCTCTTTCTCTCTCTCTTTCTCTCTCTCTTTCTCTCTCTCTCTTTCTCTCTCTCTTTCTTTCTCTTTCTCTCTCTCTCTCTCTCTCTCTCTCTCTCTCTCTTTCTCTCTTTCTCTCGGTCTCTCGTTGATGTTTTATGTGTGGGAGAGGAGGAGACGTTTATCAATGATAACATATTAGGTCTTTTTGCAAAGACTTCTTATTCAGTCCCGTGTCTCCCTTCGCTGTTCTCCTTTCTTTCCAGCCGATTCCATACACAACTTTCTGCCCCGCCTACCCCTGCCTATGCCCGTACCTGTACAGCGCAGTTGTCTCGTGATAATAGTCGATTAGACGAATGACTGTTGTTTTTTTTTCAGAAAACCCTGACAAGTACTTCCGCGAGTCGTCGTGGTTGAAGAAAAAGATGCCTATTCTCTTCGGAAAGAGCCACAAATCGCCGGCTGAAGTGGTCAAGACCCTTCGCGAAGCGCTCATCATCGTCGACAGAGTGAGTTCTTAAAACCATAATTCTAGTCATAAACTGAGTCTGTGCTATGTGCGTGACATAGGTCATGTGACTTGTAGTTACGCATTTTGTTGCACATTTCTAAACCAGAAAATTTTTGATTGAAGTTCAAATTGTTGTGTTGTGTTGTGTTTGTGTTTGTGTTTGTGTGTTTGTATCACATGATAATGACGACACACTCAACGAATAGAACCCAAACCCCCTAATTGTTGCCGATTACTGTAACGACTATCGACGATAAAGTGATGATATTGTTACAGGCCAACATTCCGAAGAAGAACTATGATCGCGCGTTGGAGGAAGTCAGCAAGAACGTCGCAATGATCAAGGCGTTCATCTACGGAAATGATCAGACCGAACCGACCAGCGAGCACGTTGTCCAAGTTGCTCAACTTGCCCAGGAAGTGTACAACGCCAACGTGCTTCCGATGCTCATCAAGATGCTTCCGAAGTTCGAGTTCGAGTGCAAGAAAGACGTCGCCTCGATCTTCAACAACCTTCTCCGTCGTCAGATCGGAACCCGCTCTCCCACCGTGGAGTACCTGGGAGCGCGTCCGGAAATTCTCCTGCAACTTGTCCAAGGGTACAAACAGATCACCTTCGACTTTCTCACACGTATTCAATTTCCAGGTACTCTGTGCAAGATATCGCTCTCGTCAGCGGACTAATGCTCCGTGAGAGTATTCGTCACGACCATTTGGCAAAGATCATCCTCTACTCTGACGTGTTCTACACATTTTTCGGATATGTTCAGAGCGAGGTCAGGAAATTGACAGACGACGTCGAAATATAATCAGATTTGCAGGTTTTCGACATTGCCTCCGACGCGTTCTCAACGTTCAAAGACCTCACCACAAGACACAAAGCACTCAGCGCCGAGTTTCTCGATGCCAACTACGACATTTTCTTTGGTTGGAGATGGGAAAGAGAGCTCGGTTGTTAACTTTTCCTGTTTAAGAGAACTACCAGTGTCTTCTTAACTCGAAAAACTACGTGACCCGCCGTCAGTCGCTGAAACTGCTGGGAGAACTCCTTCTCGACCGTCACAACTTCAACACCATGACCAAGTACATTTCGAACCCGGAGAACTTGAAGCTGATGATGGAGTTGCTGCGTGACAAGAGCCGAAACATTCAATACGAGGCATTCCACGTGTTCAAAGTCTTTGTTGCCAATCCGAACAAACCAAAGCAAATCTCCGATATTCTTCTCCGCAATCGCGAAAAACTTGTAAGTGTTTTTTCGATTCTGCTTTTAAAACTGAAAAATAGACAAAAAATATCAAATCATGGTAATGGATTTGTAGGTCGAGTTCCTTGGAGAGTTCCACAACGACCGCACAGACGACGAGCAGTTTAACGACGAAAAAGCCTATTTGATCAAACAAATCCAGGAGATGAAAGGTGCTCCAAAGGAATCGAAGAAAAAGAACAAGGAAGGGGACCAACCCGGACCATCCGGACCTCCACCTCCACCAGCCGTTGAGCAGAAATAGGATTTGACAAATACTAGGCCTTTTTTGTCATGCGATGATCAATCCTATGCCTGTTCACGCTGTTCTATGCGTGTTTCAAGTTCTGGTCGTACTAATGGTTATCATATAATCAATTTTTACCAAGTTCCGAACACTATCGTCTTTTTTATCCACTCCTGCCTTGCGTAGTTCCCCCGATTCTTGCAATTTGAACTGTTCTTCGCCATGATAGTGAGCCTTTCCCCGTGTAAAACTCTGTTCGAATCAGTTTGACTGTCTGACAGTACCATGCCTGGTTCTTCTATTTTCCCATTGAACTAATCCCGATTGAATCTTAGCCCCTCTCGCCCTTTCTTTGCTGTATCACATCCATGGATCACAAGCCCACAATTCTGTATAATTAAAACACTTCCATTTTCATTTCGCTTATCTGCAATTGACCCGTTTTCTTCCACTAAACCGAGTAGATTTTCTAGAACTGGTCCGTTCTGACCATCGACTATAAGCCGTTGCTCATGCTCACTCTTTATTTTGATATGTATTTCTTTTTTCCCCTTTTTTAGGTTGAACAAGTCTCGTTGCATATCAGCTTGCTCACTAACAGATGGTTCCTTTTCTTCACATTCGTCCCCCGATTTCTATGCACTTTACCGTAGTATTAGTCAGCTGCACATACACAACTGCTTCTACTTTCACATTTCTTGTAGCCAACGTTTTTTTGCATTGTCATTTTAACAGTCTTGAATGAATTCAATAAATGTGGAGAGGGAAGATCAAAGCAAACACTAGAGTAGCAGCAGAGAGGACAGATCACTGTCTTGTCAGCGACCACTCACAAAAATGTTGATCCGACTGCTATGCGTTTTCATGTTTTTCGCAATTAAAATGGCAGAATGTAGTAAAGCTGAAAACAAGTTATACAGGTAGGTATTCGAGTGGTAAGTGTTCGAACACTTTTAGTTTTCAGAGACATTCTTACCGGATACTTGAAACTAGCCCGACCTGTGAGATACCCCAGAAATGTACTCAAAGTTCATATGAAAGTTTTTCTACAGCAAATTTTGAATTTGGTTAGCAGTCCGCCTTAACAAAAATAATAATCGAATTTCAGGATGGACAAAATCAGATAATAGAAGTGAACGCTTGGCTGAAATATGTGAGATGACCTTTAGGGAAAATAGTCTTCGAAAAAAACGGCTGTTTCAGGTTTGGATGGATTACCGATTGCAGTGGGATCCACTTCAATACGACAATATCACAAGCATCAGATTTGCGGGTGGTGAAAATCAGATTTGGAGGCCTGACGTTCTTTTGTACAACAGTGCCAGCGAAGATTTCGATTCATCATTCAAATCAAACGAAGTCGTTTACAATACGGGAGAAGTCAATTGGATTCCGCCCGGAATATTCAGAGCCAGTTGCAAAATGGATATCACGTATTTCCCATTTGATGACCAAGTCTGCTACTTGAAATTCGGATCATGGACTTATCACGGGTTGGCTTTGGATTTAAGTATCATCGCTGAAGAAGATGAAGAAGGTAGACACGAAGTTTCCGGTGAAGGATTCAAATGCATTCAGTTTCAGAGTTCTCAATTGATTTGTCAACTTACACTCCGAGCGGAGAATGGCATCTAACCAAAGCACCGGCAGTGAAAGACGTGAAATACAATTCCTGCTGTAAAGAACCTTACTCAACTGTTACCTTTTACATGTTTTTGAGGTACTTTCATTTAAGAAACGGAAAAATACGGGTCATTGCAGACGACGCACTTTATTCTATCTGTTCAACATAATTCTCCCGTCTCTCCTCATCTCTATCATGACACTAATGGGATTTTGCCTTCCAGCTCACGATATGTCGGAGAAGATAGGCTATCGTAATTATTCGAGTTTAATCCAGTTCCCTGTTGAATATACTTTTTAGAAACTACCATTCTATTATCGATCTGCTTCTTTGTCACAATCGTGAGTGAAATGACGCCTCCAACATCTGAATCAGTTCCGTTACTCGGTAATTTTATTCGGACATTACCGGAAATCGATCTCTACAATTTCAGGAATGTTTTTCTCATCTCTCACGCTCATAAGTGCTGTTTCCACGGCTTTCACAATTACCGTACTCAACTTCCGTTATCGTCAAGTTCAAAACATTCACATGCATCCCCTTTTCTACAAAGTATTTCTCATATGGATTCCCTGGTTATTGCTCATGAAACGGCCGGGTGTTTTCTACAGAAAGCGGAAAGCGACGTCACAGGAGAGAGATGACGTCTCCTTCTTTGAAAACTGTGAAGACGAGGTACGCACATACACACAATCCCAATCATTTGTCAATTCGCGTAATCCAGTGCTGCCCGAAAGATCCCGAGTTCGACTACTCGCTCTCCATTGACAGCGCCGACACTCTGCCGCTTCCACCTCGGCCAAAGCCACTTCTCAAGAAGATGCATAGGTTGGACTTGCACAAAGCTCATCTATCAATCAAACTCACTTTTTTCTCAGCGTTCCCGCCGAGCATCTGCGGTTGGACCGCAAAGTCGGCGACGGAATTCTAAAAAGTCAGCGAAGACCGTTAGTCCTAACCAAAAACGTCAACAAAAGTCATTTATTACGGAGTCGGAGGTATACTCAGTTTGAGAAATATATCAAGAAATGCATCGACGACGCTAAATTGAGAAGTGAGGGAAATGAGGGACCAAAACAAATGGATTATTACAGAAAACTCGACCTACTCCACGTATTCACTAATGATTATAAACTATTACCGGCAGATTGACGAAATGCTCAAATTGATGAATCGGCGGCTGGACAAACAACGAAAATACATGTTTCAGCAGGAAGACTGGAAGTTTGCCGCCATGGCTCTCGACCGTTTGTGCCTGTTACTCATCACAGTCCTCATTGTTATCTGTCTTTTCGGAATGTTCCTGTCAACACCTCATTTTGATCCGTAATTATATAATCAGCACCAACCTTTATTTTGAAAAGTCTACAACTTTATTGTTGATTTTTGAAAAACGTAGTTGTTTGCGGAGGAATTGTCACATCAAAGCGGGAAAATAATAAAGAAAGTCAGAAAAAATCGGAAAAAAATTGTTGCTAGTTGAGAAGTCAGTGGGACGGTAGTCGGGATATAAATGCTACCCGCGAGGGGCCGAGATGAAAAGGCAAAGAAGGGGAAAAGCTGGAGAAGGTCTGGAAATTCATTCCCAGTTTAGGTAGAGCAAAATACAATTCTTCAAAGAGCAGATATTGCTTTATATGAATTTTCTAGGGAGGGGAGCAATCGGGTTTGTCATTGGGAATATAGGGGAAACTGTTCTCGCGCTGACAAATTACTTTGTTTTGTGATTAGATATATTCCAAATAAATGGGAAAATGTCAGCAAAGTCCGCTGAAATCGGAAACATAAATTCACCGTAGCTGAAATCGGAATGAATTGTGACATAACACTCAAAGAATGCTCAGGTGATAAGAAATCGGCACTGAAAAGGATTTTGGGCACGGGTGAGAAGGGGCGTACATTTCAGAGAATCGGGATTAGACATGAAAATGACCAAATGAAAACGTGTAAAATGTTCTTTTTTTAAAGGAATTTTAGGGTGAAAATCACGAGTCGATGGAATCTTTGACGAGCTGCGGCACCTTCGCTTTCTCCTCAATTGGCGCCTCCGTTGTAATGTGTGGTATTTGGTGTTTCACCTGAAATCCATTCACATTTAGACACAGAGGCCATGCTCGCGAGGATACTGACCGCCGAGCCGTCGTTGTCCGCCACGAGTCGTGTCGTCTGCTGATGGTTCATGTGTCCGTGGCGCATGAACGTTGGAGCCGTATTCTGATGCGACCTGAAAAAACACAGCATTTGCACGTGGCACGATCCGCGAATAACGTTTTCATGTGAATGTGAAATTTTGTCTTTTGTTTCAGTTGAACCAAATTCACAAACGTGGGTAAGGTTGAACTGCAAAATCCGAACAAAATTTCACACAATGCAGATGAAACCTCAAATAGTGTCGTGCTAACTATTCCGCTCTGATGTGCAATTGTTAAGTGAAAGCCATTGTGATCATGAAACTCATGCTAGATTTTGGCCTGACAACAGAATGAAAACATTTTCACGAAATGAAATCAAGATCATGCGTTGTTTTGGTTTGGTTTCCGAGAAATTGCTTAGTGTGACACTATCAAAGATCTGCGTGAGTTTTGTAAAAGCTTTCTAGTTTACTGAACTATCAGCCAGCTAGTTGCACAAAATAAAAAGAAAAACTGAACATAAATATAGGATAGATAATAATGATAATTAATAATTAAATTTCGTTCGTTTTTCCCACCTTTTCCTGTCGGATCCGTCCTCTAAAATAAATATATCAAGTTTTTTCGCTTTGTGTGATTATCATTAGATAGAACTAAGAGTATTGGTTTTAATGTGATGTCAATCCAATTTTTCGTTGTTAAAAGAGGAAAAGGAGTGAGTGATGGGCATTAGTCACACGTTTAAAGTCACTTCACACGTGATCGTTAGAAGATGAACTCAGGTCGTTTCTCTATCATCCATGTTAATATTTCCATGAGACCACTAATGCGTACCTGTGGTTCCTGCCCATGTAACTGCTGTTCGCATCGCTTCGCACCGTTGTCAGCATGTCGTCGTTGGTTGTTTGCGTATTGTTGAACTCGCGTTGGCTCTCCAGCTGTAATAACTAAAAGTTCAAAACGGAATTCCTCTAAAACCCCGACCTGGTAATCCCCATAACGTCGGCGTGGTTGGTTTCGTCGGCTTCGTCGGAAGCAAAACACGAACAAGTAGATGACGAGCACAATGTATCCTGAAACAACAATTGCATTTCCAATTGCCGTGTTCATTTCTCATCAATAAATCACTTAATGGCGCTGAACCCCATATGAGCTTCAAATGTGCACAATTGATTGACGACTTTAAAACAAGGCGGATCCGCGGAGACGACGCCATACGACAACAACGCCCATGTTCACGTATCTGATTTCATATGCTTCTCCCGCTCCGTGTTATGAAACAGAAGCGTAAGGAAGAAAGAAAGACGGCGGGAAAATGAGGAGAGAAAACAGAAACCAGACAACTTATTTATAGGAAACTACATTATCCACCGGAAAGGGTGGCTTTTGATGAGAAAAAGGCAGAGGAATCTGAGAAGGTTTTGAGGAAATTATAGAACTCACCTGTTACAGTCAGCGCGATAAAACAAATGCGCATGTCGTTGAGGTACGAGGCCACATCGTGCAGATCGTCAGCCATTCGGATGAACTTGTAGGATTCGCTGAAAGTTTTCAGGTTGTTGAGAGTTTTTCATAATAAAAATTAGCTTTTACCCCCTCCATCATTTATGATAATTTTATCTTGGTTTAACACAAACATGCTTACAAACAGCAGAACAAACCTTTTCTCGATAACCTCGTACAAAATTTCCTGCATAACTCCTTTCGACTTCTCTATTTCCATGTTCGGACCCATACTCATTCATATGGTAAGTCAAGGTTCTTGAAAACGACAATATCAACGGGAGAAAACATACAAATAGCCGGAGAATCAAGTTTTTTGGGAGTTTTTCTAATGAAGTAGAGCAAGACGGATTAGGAGCCGAGGAAGAAATGAATTGGCTGATTGAGGTCGGTCTGGTTGTAGTTGTAGTTCTCTAATTATCAACTTGCGCATGCGCATAATTGCAGCTCTTCAACGCTGACGATTTGCTCGTCTCATTTGCGCATCAACAACTTTTGTACGTTACGCGCAAGAAGACGTAAGAAGAGGGGGCTCACAAGCAAATTAGCACCTTTCCTCCGTGGGAGAAGAGGCTCTTGAAAATTTTTAGAAAGCCAAGCGAACCAGGTCAGTTTGTGCCAGAAAACATACAGAAAAATACCCGCAAAGTGACAGAGCAAAGCATTTCTAGCGTCCAGAAAACGCGACCCTAGGGATTTGGCGCAAATTCAAAAGGATAAGGTCTAATTCGCAAAAAAAAGCGTTTGGGCCAAGGTCAAGAGATAAATTGTTCAAGATGGAAGATTTTCAAAACTGAGGTTTTTGTTAGGAAAAATTGCAACAAGTTGGGAAAGAGTGCGAAAAAGTAAGACGTTGTCGCAAGAATAATGAGAGAGAAAGAAAGAGATACAAGATGTTCGGCGGTTCGCACTAGACCTAGTCGCATCCCTCCTCCGACTCTCGCTCTCGCATATCCAGCCTGATGGCCCGCGTTTTCCAGCCGCCCCGATGCTTCTGGCGCCGTCTTCGTCTCATCTTGCCTTTTCTCTGCGATTCGTTCTCAAATCGCACTCTCTCGACACCCTGAACCGCAAGTTCCCTCTTCAGATTTTCCTGTTTTTACGCGATCTATTGCTCATTTATTCTCAAATTTCGTCGCGGCTGGGGGCTCCCGAGACTACGGCTCTTCTTCTTTTTCTTCCCCTCCTCCTCCATTGCATCTTTGTCTTGGGGTCGATGATAGGAGGAAGAACGTGAGATGAGAAGAGTGCTTCTGAGCACGAAACAGGACACGATTCGCCTTCTCACAGAGATTTTTCATTGCCGATCATTGAGCAGAAAGATGATGAAGATGAAAGAGTGCGCGCAAATCAAAAGAGAAATGAACTGTGAGTGAAAACGAGTGACGTGATGGGGCTAATGAAAAACACGGATTCTGCGCATTTTTTTCTTGTTTGCGTTAACAGATTCTTTGTGACAAGCAACGTTTCGAAATGTTGAGTTTGAGTTCAGTTGAACATCTGCACACACTCACACACACGCGAACCTTTTGAAGTATATTGTAGTTTGAGCAAAACGGTTCCTGTTTGAAGTTTTTTTTTTTTTGAGAGGAGACTTTAAAGACGCAAAATTTGAAATATGATTGGAGGAGAACAGAAATGGGATTAGGAAACAGAAGCGAAGCGCAGAGTTTTTTTCTGAGGTATTACTAAAGAAACTCAAGTTCGGAATTGAAGAATGGCGGGAGCGAGAAGCAGTCCGAACAAGTGGATATTGGGTGTTGGCGTTAGGGGCGGCCTCAGAAACGGCAAGAATAATTGATGCAATGCAAACGAATCAGATTGCTTCTTCGACTACTTTTGCACTTTGTGCCATCCGTCTCGAGACCCTCGCCCCCCCCCCGTGTCTCGGCTTCCTTAACCAACTGGATGCACCTTGGTAGTCAAATAAAACTTTAGGATCACTATTATTCCCCGCATTTGATTGTGTGTGCTGCAGTTTTACGACTTTTGCCTAAGAGAGCGCGAGCGCCTAAGACGAAACGACGCGTGCAATGCAAAACGAAAACGAAAACGAGCAGTTCTGGCTGTGCTCAATGGGTTTTATATGGTAGCAGGTGGAAATGAAAACCTTCTGATTTTCCCGATTCTCATTCGACCAGATTCGTATTTGACGACAACACCTTCACAACAAAAAGCAAGCATGCGAAAGTTCCTTTTTTTACAACCAAACCTACCTGTACTCGGGTGGACGATAGAAATCCATCCTACTCAGCAAATACGACAGTTTGACAGCTGAAGAGAGCTCAATTTTAGAAGCAAGATACAAGAAACGGAATAAAACATCCGAGGAGAGAGGAGGATCGTGAGGCAAGCGGAGACTTCCGATTTGAATATCCGCCGAGTTGCGGTGGATGAGCGATGACGGTGAATATGAGGAAAAACGAGAAGAAATGGGAAGGAAAGGACACAATTTCGAGTGTTTGTTCGAATAATAATCACGAATAGTTTTAGTCTCTGAGCAGCAAGAGAACACGAGTGGTCCCCGACTCAAACAAGCGATTCTTCCTGCTTTCACACATCAGAAATTCCTACTGCACCTCACCTAATTACTCAATCTGAAACACTAGCTAAACAGAGAGAAAGAAACGGGAATCGAGAAAAAGTTTGCAACTCTTACTCTGCTATCTGCTGGATTAATTTGTCCGCTCTTTTCAGTTGGAGTCGTCCCAAAACCGAAGAAGATGTCAAAATATGAAGAAGACTGGGGAAGAGCGGGTGGAAGTGGGACGGAAAGAAGAAGGACATATGTAAGACGCTGATTGGTTTGACGCGTTTCTCAATTTCATTCGGTTTGATTTGGAGGGGGAGGGGGAGAACCCGCCAAACAGCGACAAATTTTTGCATTCAGTCACGAAAAAACAGACAAAAGTGCAAGTAGAAATGCGTGGATGTGGGAAAATGATGTGGGAGCGGCAGCCGGGGCAACTCAACCGCTATTATTGTTTCTGAAGATATGTTGAACCGCATACTGCTCGACTACTTGAACATTTCAAGCACCTGAACATTCTACGAAAGTGCGGTAAACTCCCATTTCCAACTAACGACCAACCATTTGGACAACTGCCCGATTGGAATTGCAAAAGTTGATTGGAGAGGCGGGAAGAGTTCTCACTTGACACCTACGCGTGATTCCACACATCTCTTTCGGGGCGGCTCCCGTTTTGTTAGAGCACGAAAAGGAACAGAGAGAAAAAAAACAAAAGCGCGTTGATGAGGTGTGAACGCGCGCACATTTTGGTTGTTTATAGAAGCAAAAGGCAAAATAGTGGGGCAAAGAGGACCACGCAAGTGTGAAATTGACAGACACACACGCACAGCCCCGGCTGATATTCACTCCGTTCTTCTTCTCCTTCTCCTTCTTCTTCTTCTTCTTCTCATTCTTTTGCTAAAAATGAGTATGGGTGGCTAAAAAGGCGAAAAACGACACCACAAAAGAATGTTTGGGAGAAGAGGGACGAAAGCGGAGAAGAGCGGCGCCGTATTCCGTTCCTAATTCGGAATTAGACAAAGAAATGTGAAAATTCACATGATTAGAGAGAAGATATTCCGACGGAAATTGCACGAAAAAGTAAACAAAAGGGACGGGGGGTCCTCGAAGATCTCTGAGACTTTTTTATGAACTTCTCTCCTCTCAAGGCCTCAATTCTTAGTGAGCACTAGGGTATTTCCCCAATTCATCATAAAAGCAATGTTGAATTCATGAAATGATCACATTTTTCAGTCAGGAACACGAAAACCAACGCTGATTGATGGATCAGGCTTGTGTTTACCCGCACAATACTTGAAAATCCGCACATTGAAGATTTGTTTTGAAAGTTCTCAAGATATATGTTATCTGAGCGTGGGTTATCTTAGCAGGAGATTTTAGTTGGTAAACTGAGAAAACTTCTTAAAATGGTCAAATGAAACGAGTGGACAATTTTCAATTGAATTGCGTGCTCTCGGCCGGAAATCTTTGCGGGTCCGGGAAGGAAGCAGAGGTCTCTATGAACTTTTTTGGATAGTGAGCACGAAATCGTGTGAGGACATCGACCTTAGAAGCGAAATTTTTGACACACTTGAGAGCACTTCACATATTCCAGAGTCCGGATTTTCTCTGATTTCTCGGCGATTCTGTGGAGAGAAAAGAACAAGCAATTTTGTGCGTGAACTTTTTTCTTCTTCCAATGACATACTTGAAGCGCTCATCAATAATTGAAAGGGGAATGAGTTTCCTGGAATATGTACCTATGATATGTTAAATATTGATACCGAAAAGAGAAGAAGGCTACACTGATATATGCACAATATCAGAATGCAAAATGGCGCCTTCCCGGCGGGCAGAACCTCTAATTCGACACTCGTGGAGAGTCGTGCGAAGAAATGTGCCAATAATCCGTCTTTGTCTACCCAACAACATTGAATATGGCAATTAGGCTGGTGGCGGACCTCGAGGCTTCTGGCTTGTTATTGTCTCCGGAATGCTAATTGACACATAGCCAATTTTAATCAAATAATGACACTTGCGAGAAGGCGAATAGGCACTCGGTTCAATGAACATATACGAAAAGATGACGGAACGTGAGGAGAAATCAAAAAAGGTTGAAAGATGCGAGCTTCGAGGATGGCTGGATGGGTGGACAACTAGTTCCACTCTTTGTTTCTCTTGTCTCTTTGTGCCCGTCTGAATGGAGCCCTTCAAGATATTAAGACAATTGATAGATGAAGCATGATGCTTTCCTTCAACATGGCGGTCGCAAGTGTTGCTGTCTTGTGTACATCGATTTCCTTTGTTCCCATCAATAATTTCTGCTTTTCTGCACACACACACACCCGCAACAAGTGCGGATCAACCGGAAGATGAATATCGATGGGATCACCAGTGAAAACGACGGAAAGACGGGGAAAGAGAAGAAACAAGTGAAACGATGCGGGAGGGAAAGTGGGCGTCAAGCTACATTTCCCTGAGCTGAAATTGGTTCCGTCTCAGTTTCGATCGTGATTGATGACCCGAAAACAATCGGGAAACTCTATTCTCGATGCGAGAAGAGTGACAAGAAAATGGCTAGGTTCTCAAGTGGACTCACGTCATCCGGGCCACTGATTTCAGCGAGTTAAACTATTGCGGAACTATTTTCATGATGCCTGCCGAGCAAAAAAGACAACAGCGGGGAGGCCACCCAAAATGCTTTGCGGACAGAAGAGTTCCAT